CCTTTTTTGGATTTTGTTTGTATTCTTTCTACTTCTTCATTTGACTATTTATTTGATAAACATTATCGAGCCCTCACTGTTCTCATCCTTTGTCCTGGGGTTTGCTCTTCTTACTTCTCATTATTGATCAAAATGCCCCTTTAAACCCTTCTCTCCCCAGTCTGAATCATAAACTGTGTACATGGAAACCACAATAATCAAATGTGTCTCAAGTATGCACAAGATTTATGAGTGTATGAGCTGTCTGCTGAGGGCCTGCATCTATATTAAAGGTTCCAGGCTTGCTGGAAGGAGAACTCATAAACTTCAGCGAAGGGACAGGCTGCAGCATGTGCTCAGAAGGGCTTTTTTTTTTCTTTGCCCTTTTAATCCTAGTTCTTGAGTGTGTACTGGAGCTGTAGGGACATGGGATTCCTGGTTAACTTGAAGTTGGCCCTCATTGATCTAAGGGACTCTAAATACCTCTTGGATTAGTGTCCCCAGAAAATCACTTATTAAAAACAGGAAGAATGATTTAGCAAATTAGAAAATGTAGACACTCTATTTTCTATTTAAGTACACTAACAGAATCCTGGTGCCTTGGTACTATATTCTCCATTGAAATGGGGTATCTTAAATATATGTGAACCCTGCTCAAATAGCAATAATAGATAAGAAGTCTGAAGAGTTCATCTCCCCCGCTAACTCAAATTTATTATGCATGCCAAAATTATTTTTTGTTTAAAAAATCTTTAAAATTATGAGGTTCCCAACTCCATAATTATTGTATTTGGTTTTTCTTCCTCTTTTTCTCTTTCTCTGTTTTCTTTCTATTTATTACAGAGTAGGGAGTCGGGTGGGGGAAGTAAAACATCCAGGCTCTTTAACTTGAGGCTTAGGTAGGAAAAAAAAAGTAATTGGAATTACAAATCCAGAAAATTAACCTGATTCCTTAAAATTAAGTGTCACCATGGAGACCAGAGCAGGAACTATCTCCATGGAGATCTGAATGAATTTAGGTTTTTTGCTTTAAATTATCATTTGGTGCCAGATGTCAATTTGGCTATGAAAGAAATGAGGATGAGTGAGTGAGTGAGTGAGTGAGTGAATGTAAGAGCTAGCCTCGCACAAAAGAATGTACAAAATTAAGTTTAAGTAAATTAGAATCTATCACATCTAAATTGTTCTGTTTCTTACTATTCCATTATTCCAATGAGTGGGAAGATATCCCAGGAGAAAATTTTTCCTCAACTCAAAATTTATAATGGCAACGTCTGATGATATGGTTTCATACATGTTACAGGGTTGAATATGGAAAGATAATTTCTAGAAAAGTCATCGCTCAGTCAGAAGCATCAAAGTGTGAGGAGGACATTATGGTTCCATCTAGTTACCACTCTAGCCAGGAGAATGACAGCGTGGAGATAATCCTTAACAACCATGCTGGTTATATTACCTTATCAGGTGTGTTACACCAACCATTTTTAAAATGTGTAGCAAGGTCAGACTTCTATGACATGCCAGATAAAGAGAAACAGAAAAATGCAAATGTTTATAGAATCAAAATTTCTCCCAGTCACAGGCTATACTTTTCATCTATTGGTACAGTTCATTTTTTATTTCTGAGGCAGAATCTTACTAAGTTGCCCAGGCTGGGCTCAAATTTGCCATCCTTCTGCATCCTCCTGCTTCAGCCCCCCAGAGCACTGGGATTATGGCTCACTATACCCAGTTTACACTATGAATTTTATGCAGATTTTTTAGCTTTGATTTTGGTGACTGATTGGCTATAGAAGGAAAACAAGGATGCTAATAGAACAGCCAGCTTCAGAAAATGCTATTGTTTCTCACATTTTACAATTGACTCTCATCATTTGCAAGTTTAATAAAGTTGCAATAAACAACTACTGAATACTGAAATATTTCTCCTTAGAGGAAACAGGTTGAGGTTCCTGTGAGCCTCTGGTCACAATATTTTCATGAGCTAATCAATGCATAATCTTGTGTTATGTGTGTCTCTGTTTGGAGACATCATACTTAATATGTATCACTGATACATTAACAGTGAACTCACTGCCAACAGCACTACTCCTCAGACCTGAACAAAGCTTATCAACACACAGGTTCTCTCTGTAAGGCTCATCATGGTCTCCTTGTGCTTGGGTGCTCTAGACAGCACTTCAGCATGATGCATGGGGGTCAATTTAACACCACCACTAACAAAAAGCACAAAAATGCAACATGCAAAATATATCATTAAGTGGACTGTGAAAAGGTCCCTTGTTTACACTATGACAGCTGAAACAAGAGGGCAGAGTGTTGCTTTGTTTGACCTCAGTTGGAAACAGGCACATTGGGGACATTTTTTTTGCCCATTTGTGCTACTTTGCATATGCCTGTAAATGACCACAAAAGTAACTCAAGCATTGATTTTGAGTTACAAATGAAGTTTACCAAGTAGATGAGTACAGAATCTACATACAATGAGTATCAACTGTATTTGCCAACTAAAGAGGACAGCTTCTGTTTCCTGTGATGCTGCTTTTTACTATTGCATGAATTGCACTTGCCTGTTCTCTTTTGTCTACCTCTGGAGCGCCTATTCTTCCTTCAAAACTCCTTTCAGGAAACCACACACACACACACACACACACACACACACACACACACACACACCAATCATCCCTTCTGGTATCTTCACTTCTCACATGAATTCATCTCTTCCTTGTACAAATTATATTATTCTGAATGTTTTCTACATTATCCTCCTTCACCAGCCTATCAAATCCCTGAGGCCATGACTAAATACATATAAGCAACTGTTACTGTTCTTACTATATGCCAGGTTATATGTTACAGGGTACCTCGTACCATACCTTATTTACTCTTACAATAATTTTATTACCCTATTTCACAGTTTTAGAAACAGGCGCCTAGAGCAGTCAAGTCACTTGCCACATTGTATAACAGCAGAGTTTGGTATTCAACCCCAGAGCCCAAGTTGTTTGTTTGCTTGCTTGCTCTTTTCTTACTGGAGATTGAACCTAGGACCTTCACAATGAGGTACATCCCAGCACCACAACTTTGAGACACGGTCCTGCTAAGTTGCTAAAATTGCCCAGGCTGTCCTCAAGCTTTTCATCTTTCTGCCTCAGCTTCCCAGAGTGCTGAGATTACAGGCTTGCACCACCATGCCCAGCTAAATTCAAGCTTTATGCTAAATTGTATTGGCTCTCATATATTACTGACTACTCACTAAGTGTGAGTATGACTACTCACATCTGGGCCTGATGATAAATGGTTCATACAAGTTATCTCATCAGTAATTTCTGTTTCTATCTCTGTGGCCATGTAATAAAGGTCCTGTTATATAAAAGTTTCTTGGGTTGAATTTAAATCTTCCAGTTCCCAAATATCCCTTCTAAAAACAACAGTATGAGAGCAGCAGCTAAAATGACTTAGCATGGCCTACTGGCCTTCATCCCGCCTCAGGTTCCTCCCCTCTTTCATGATTATGTCCTTCTGTGTGTTTGCTTAATGTCCATGATGCCCACAAGGCAACTTTCCAAAGCAATGGTAATGCAGAAGAGAGGAGAAGCACTGTCCCTTTGCAAAGCTTCCTTCTCTTTAACAGTAACTCCCAGGGGTGCTTTACATTATGACCCAAATCTTTCTGGAGGAACAGAACCACTGAAGAGCCGAGTTTTCCAGGAGGGCTATGAGATAAGTGCCACATGAGGTTAAGAAGATTGTCTGTTTTCCAGTGTGATTTTAAGTCCAAATCTATATAACCTCTCACTGTATAACTTCTGAGTTCAAAGTAGGCGGGGTCAGTTTTAGGCATGAGAAAAGTTAGGGAGTATGCTTGTGGGAAAGTGGGGAGTAGGCTGCAGGAAGTTCACAAAAGAGAAACCACAGGTGTCACATACATTACACGAATGAATGGGAGTAAGCAGGGATAAAGTCAAAACCTTTCAAAGGCAAAAACATAGAAAAGATTTATGGCTTCATTTCTCTTTCTCAGTTCACTTCTCTCAAATAATTAAAATATTCCAAGAGTAATTATTGTCAACAGTATAGCCAGGAAAGTTGACCCAAAAGAAAGTCTCTACTTTTTCCCCAGTTATATTCATGCTGGCATTGCTAACGGTAACTGTAATATTTAGTGAAAACAGAGAATCTCTAAATGAATTCTAAGCACAATCCCTAAAGCACTTATCCTTGTCCCAGGGTCAGGCAAGAACTATGAGTAAAGCGCTTAGAAGGCGAACAAGTCCCATCTTAAGGAATGGCTGCTGCTCAGCCCCTGTACAAGCACAGGTCTCAGGAGAATAAAATCTCTCTTGCCAGCCCTTTCAACTTTATAAAAGAAGACACAACCCTGAAATTTTACATGAATCTCCTAATTTTAAATGGGCCCATTAATTTGTTTTAATGTAAGCAGAATACATGCCAGACAAATTGTGTCTGTCGGTTTTCCCTGTTGGGAGACTCCAGTTTGCCTCCCCCGGCTAGAGCAGCCTTAGTAAACGCCTCTGTCAAATCCCTGAGTGTGCCTGCTCCCACCCCCATAAATGGAAGCCCTGGAGACTGCTACTGTGAAAAACGCCTCCCTCCTGCCCATGGCCCCTATCTTCTAATACTGTAGGACCTGCCTTTCATGAATAAGTACCTGTCTCTAAAAGGAGATTTCCGGACTCTGAAACCCCATATGCACCTTCTCGTGGATTACCTAAAGCCTCAGCTGCCCCGGGAGCGCAGGGAGCCGCTCCTGGAGGCCCCTCCTGCCTCCAACTGCCGCCCAGCTCTCACTCCCACACTGACCATATCCTCAGAAGGTCTCTCTTTCCCCTTCTTTTTCTCCTCTGCTCCACTTCTCTTGTTTCATCTTCTCCCTTTTTCTCATTCTCTCTTCTCTTCTCCACTGCTCTTCCCTCTCTGGAACTTTTTCCCTTTGCTGTCCCACCCCTTATTTGCTCCTCCCTCCACCAGCACCCGGGAACTTCGGGGAGCTTGCTCACCAGGAATACACCAACACAGGCTTGGAGTATTTCTTGTGATGTGAGCGGAGGGTCAGGGAGCCCTTGCGCTCCAGCAAGTCTGTGGGTCCAATCTCATACCGGTTTTGCTTACTGTCACACCAGTGGCCTGAGCTAACAGCACTCTCCATGGCCACGCTGGAGTGAGTGGTGACCTCAGAGAAATTCTCTCTACCCCTATTCTTCCCTGCGTGACTAAGATTCAGCGTCTTTCGTCTCCTAGGCAACCGGGGGCGGTCATTGAAGGGGTGGACCCCTCCTTTCTGACAGTCCTGGTTTCCTAGACTGCTAGTTACTGTTACTAAACTACCTTTCCCAGAATGCGGTGAGGACAGGGATCAGGGAGCACAGATGTTGAGAAGGGGACTGCATTTCGGATTTGTAGTTTCGCCAGCCCACCAGCCTAATCCTAGGTGTCGCTGGGCGGAATGGGGGCGGGAGGGAGGATCAGTTTAGGACTAAAGGAATGGCAAAATTTCAGAGCCCCAAGTGGTTTACTCGGACTATTCCTGCGGATGTTCTTTTTAATCATCACACCTCTGCTTACAAAGTTACTTAGCTTTGACTAAACGGGAGCAAGAGAACACCCGCTCAAACCCCAAATTACGTCATTACTATACAGCTTTTCTGCCTGTGAAAAAGAAGCAATCATTTGGCAACTCAGCCAAAATTTAAGGATCAGACAGCGTGGCTCCAGTTTCCACTTATCTCTCAATCTTTCTGAGCACCAATTTCTCCTGAAAAACAGGGCAGAATATGAAGCCATGGAGGGGGATGGACGCAGGACCTGAGGTCCCTTCACCCATGGTGCTGGGAGACTACCATCCCAGGGATTCGGCCTGCAAAACTCGCCAAAAATCACTGTGATCTTTGACATTGTGTGATAGCACAATTCATCACATTATTGTGTTGCATGTTATATGTGGGAAGAAGATAATGACATTGCCCTCATTAGATAGCTGTGTTGTAGCAGGGAAAGTGCTTATTTCACTTCTTACTTTCTAATATTTTTTTTCTTTTCCCCCTATCTTCACCGCACACTAGGGATCAATCCTGGTGGGGATCCCCCACAGAGCTCCAGCTCCAGCCCTACTTCTTTTCAGACAGGGTCTTACTAAATTGCCCAGGTTAGCCTTGAACTTGAGATCCTTTTGCCTCGACCTCCGTAGTAGTTGGATTATAGATGGATTATGCCTGGCTCCAAGGATATTTAATGTCAAAACTCTCTTCCCTAACCTTAATTGAGTAGCTTTATGGCATTATTGAACTTTATTTATTGTATCATTCCTTCCCAGCATAGTGCTTAATACATGGCATCTTCTCAGAGTGTGAATGAATGAACAAATATTATGCTTGAGTAACTGATTTACCAAGGCTTTCATTAACTCCAGAAGTGTCTTACTTTCAGAAGATCATATACACACACACACAAATTAAATTTAAGAACAAATTAAGGCATAATTCACGCTACAAATAGACTGACAAAAGATTCTAGTGAACCTGTAAACAGCGCGGCACTCTTCTGGATCAGATCCCATAAATTTGACAACACACAACTACTTACCAGCTCTTCTGTGGTTTGTGGTGCATAGCGTAGGCACCTGTGGTACTACTTTACTGACAGCCACGCTTAAACAGTGTTATTTAGAACCTAATAAATAGTCCATTGTCAGTAGCTAAGTGCTAGCAGAGAGCTGACTGTTATTTTAGTCCTTTTCTTTTTGAAGAATGAAAAGAAAAACAAACTAGCCTTAAAATGGTTAATAATAAGCCCCTTTCAATGAGTTCAATTCTGTCCAATCAAAGCAGAGCATATTGTGGTTGCCCCCAAAATAATGCCAGCATCACAGTCATCTTTTTATGTATTTCTTTTACTTCTGCTTAAAGTGGTGGTAAAATATATTTGCAAAATATATACAACAGGTCTCTGAGAAGACAGTTTGACCAAAAGATGAAAGCTGCCCCAGTCAATTTCTCTCCACAGTGCACTGAGGTGCAGAGATTACAAAGCTTTTCAGACTTCAAATAGCAGTAAGTGAAGAAAACAAGTAACGCAAACATAGCTTTTTTTTTTGTCTCAAATTTATCTGCTCAATTCCCAGAAAAGCCCCTGCTGAGGGCCTTCCAGCACACACCCCCTCATCATTAAAATGATTTCTCTCTACCACATACATGTCTCTCAAGCTAATGTAGAGCCCAAACTGACTCCACTTTGAAAAAGTTACTCCATTCTGTGATCAGGTCACCACCCAGTTACTGGAAAAACCCCAAAGCACCCTTTTGACCAAATTACAAGCCCATGCTAAATGACAATGGGCCTAGGAGACAGTGCTCTAATCCCCTACCATTGTAGCCATAGCTCCGACCTTTGTTCTAACTCTGGTTTAGGAATGTAAGTCAATCTTGTACTGTTTGAAGTCCAAACCTGATTAACGTGTAAGTTAGTGGTTATAGACATAGAGACCCCAAGTTAACTGTTGAACTGTTTGCTCATCCTGAATGTCTTGGTGGCCTTTGAATCATCCTATAGGTATGTTAATTATCAATGTGTGACTGCCCAGTACGTGACTGCTGACCACCAACTGTAGTCAGCAGACCTTTGTCCCCTGCCTGCATTTTCAAAATGTTAACCAATCAGGCACTGACCCGTCTAGAAAGCCCCTAGATCTGCTTCTTTGCCGATAAAAAGCCTGTTTGAAACTGGGTTCAGGGCTCTCAGTACGAATCTGCTACGTCGGTGAGGTCCGGGAGTACAGGCTCGAGCTTCCAATAAATTCCTCACGTGATTGCATCAGACTCAACTCTTTGGTGGTCTTTGCGGATATTGCGATCTGGGCACAACACTAACAGACTATATTCTAAATAATACAAAATTAAATTTATTATTTCTATGTGAAATCCAGTTTAAATATCTTAATTTTTTTATGATGTAAAGCAATCAGAAGTTATAACTAAGTATTTATTTCCTAAGGATTGCCTAGTATTTGTTTTAGCTGTCTAGGAAATAGAGCCCCCCGCCCCATTACCAGCCAAATATTCACCTGTGCGTGCCCTTTGGAGCACTAGATTTTAGATGGAGGACGTCAGTGGTAAGAGTTTCTTATTCATTCTAATTTTCCTCAGTCTAGCCTGGCTCCTGTCTTTTTCCCCTCTTTCTTTCCTTTTTCCTACTTTTCTTCCCCGTATTGCTTCCTCTTCCATGCCATACTTCCATCTTTCTCTCTATCCTCCTTCTGTCTCTCTGCTTCCCTTTTCTCTTCTTCCTTTGAGAAGTGGCCTGGGTGCCCAAGAAAATCTGGTACAATTTCAAGTTATATGAAAAATATGCAAGAGAAACAATTGGACCTGGAAAACATGGCCAAACTTTTTATGACTAAGCTCATGTTTAGTGATCTTGAAGCAATCAACTCTGATGAAAGTGTCGATCTTCTTTCCTTTCCTTTAGCTATCCATAACTGTAGCAGTCTTTTTTAGAATAATTCTAACCTTCAGTATGATTCTTCTGTGCTTCTGATTTGGACTGTGAGCCAATTAGGCATCCACTTGCTGTCAAGCCATTATCATTAACTATAATTGAGTAAGTGTCAGCATGTGAAAAGCATTCTTTCTCGAATTCCTATTATCAGTATGGAGGAACTAATTTATTAAATATTCAACAGATAGTATTTTAAAATTTAACACTTCCTTTGTTTTAATATCTAACTTAGCCAATAAGTAAAATTCTTTAGTAGCACTGTCCATAACTATCACAATAAAACTTTAATGTCCTGGATTTGTAATGACATACTCTTACACAAATACACGTTAGGGACTTCTTTAATATTCTATAAATTGGTTAGCCTTAATTATTCAAAGTCTAAATATCCATTTTTATAAATGATCAAAACCCTTGGATTGGTCCTTTTTTCCCCAGTGCTGTTTTGCTTTTGGCATCTTCCCAGATTATTAGCAGCAAGAATGAGACAATATAGCTACCAGTTATTACAAGAGGAGTGGTGCTGGGAATTAAGGTTGATATTGCTATTATTTTCTTTGTTCCTAGTGGTCTTCAATCTGAAATAACCTCTCTTGGGGAAGAAGTTCGGATGGGAAGGGGAAGGTCTGGACTCCCAGAACTGCTTCAGAAAGTAGCAAGAATGATGGGACAAGTGTGCTCAAAGTGAGAGGGGATGGGCTGGGGATTTAGCTCAGCGGTTCTGGCACTTGCCCTGCAAGTGCAAGGGCCTGAGTTCGATCCCCAATAGCAAAAAATAAATAAAAAATAAAAAAAAATAAGAGGGACTATTCTGAGGGGCGTTCATGGCTATGTGTTTTTATTATAAAGTTTTAAAATTTAAACATTCACCATAGCTTTTGATCATACTTCACAGGTATATGTATGTATGTATTTAAAATCTGTTTGCAGAAATCTGGCCTCTAGAACTAAAGGAATAACTCCTCATTTTAGTCATTACTCTATACCTTTTGTCTCTGCGTATGTTATGACTTTCTACCTAAGGCATCAGCTAGTGATCAATTAGCAGTACATTTCTAAAGATCCCCCTTATTATTTCCTTTGAAATTATATAATTCAGTTATATATTCAAGACTTTCATTAAAAGTGGTAAAATAGGGCCGGGGATTTAGCTCAGCGGTTCGGTGGCCTGCCTTGCAAGCACAAGGACCCGAGTGCAATACCCGGTACCAAAAAAAACAAAAAACAAAAGTGGTAAAATAGTTCCTTTGCCTTGGCCCTTTTTGTCCTAAAGAACATCTAGCCTATGATAGGTATCTCTCTCTCTCTCTCTCTCTCTCTCTCTCTCTCTGTCTGTCTCTCTCATCATCCCTCTGTATCTAGATTGATTTTCTTCTTTCTCTGGTAACCCAGCCCCTATAGTATGTCTACTATCCTTGGTAGGGCTAGAAAACTCAAATTTTTCTTATTCAGAGCTTTGTTATTAACTCTAAAATCCAGAGATTTAAAAGGTTTCTGGATTTCTAAAACATTTCAATACAAACCTTTATTCCACAGTGGAAAATCAAATGCTTTATTTCCCCCAAAGCCTATGATTTTAGAACAAGTATTACTTTATTTTAATATAAATTTTTAAGGAAAACATTACCAAGATCTCAATATCCTCTATAAAATATTCAAAAGCCTATATCTAGTTCTATCAAGAATTACTATTTTAACATTAAAAAACTACCCTGAAAT